AAAAAAATCAATGTGTAGGAATATTGGATTTTACTTTACTCCTCAACTTTTTAGTGTTTGTTTGCTTTCAGGTTTACCAAATAATAATAAATGATTCCAGTTTGCCATTTTCTTTGAGGTATGATAATAGAAAGTCAAGAATATTGGAAAGCATGTTCTGATATTTAAGCCAGGTTTCATTTTATTCAGTTTGCATCTTTCTATGGTCTACTAAGTAGGTTTTCTTTTTTTAAATACAACACATGAAAGAACTATTTGCTTTTATGTTTGACTCTTTAATTTTGACTTAATTATAATATACACAAACAAGTCCCTTGATCTTGCCTATAAAACAGTTTCTATAGCTTCTTAGAACTTGTGGGGGCTTTTATATAACCCCTCACTGGCTCTTATTTTGGGGGCCAACTAAGCCAATGCATATACAAGGATCTAAGCATTTCGGAGAAAGAATACCTCTGACACTAATTTAAAAATAGCCTTTAAAAAAAAAGCATTTAGTTTTTGGTCTAGGATTGCATTTTCCAAATTTTCTTTCTTTATAGCAATAAATTTAGTTAAATAATAATAAAAACACCTCTTTGAGGAGAAGGAATGAAAAATGCTTGTTATGTGTATTGTTTTCCTCATTTATTGATGTAGTTTCCCTTCACTAATTCACATATTCCGCCTATTATTACAAGATGTGCAATACTCTTGCAAAGATTATTCCACAGCTTTCTACATTTCCTTCTGAATTCATCTTAATTTCATACCAAGGGCTTGAGAATTTGATTCGGTTTAATCTGTGAGCATTATAATTTTTTTCCCCACTAACACACATTTCTCTCACGTTTGTTTGTGACGTGCCCCATATGTAAAAGCGACGACACTCATGTATTTTCAAACATGCAAGCCTGTTCTGCTCCAGGGCTTTTGCTCTATGACAGGTTGCTCTGTCCCTGCTCGCCACCTCGGGGAGCCTCCATTTCCCAGGCAATCCTTGTGACACCAACTTTATTTTACCAAGTTACGAAATAACTGCTCGTTTGTTCTTCACCGCGCCCCCCCCACCTCCCCAGGCTTGTTCGTTGAGGACGTGCCACCGCTATTTCCCGGTGGGGAGCAGCACTGGGCTAACGAAGCCTGCTCAACACATTCCCCTTAAATAAACTCAGCATTTTCACTTAGCCTCGCTGATGGGGCCTGTTGGCAACTTAGCATGAGTCCGCACAAATTGTGTTGGAAATGAAATCGTGTGTACGCGCCTGCCTTGTGTCCTTGCAGAGCCTCTGGACCCAGACTCACCTTTCCCACCCTGACCCTCGCTCGAGTAGGGAAGGTCTGGGAATCATTTCCCTAACGACCCATGCGCGCCTCCGTCCCAGCGCGCGCGGAAATCGCCACAGTCTCTGCCACGTCAGCCGGCGCGCGTGACGGCAGCGCGCAGGGAGGGGCGTGGCACGCGCGGAGTCCCGCCCCTACATCCGGGGCTTAGGTGGCGGCGGTGCCGCCGCGCGGGGGTCACGTGGCTCCTTCCTTTCCGTCTCTGGCCGGCTGGGCGCGGGCGACTGCTGGCGAGGCGCGTGGACTCTCGCGCTCGTTCCCCTTCGTCTTTTCTCCCGGCCGGGGCCGCTAGGGAGTTCGCTGACGCCGGGTGAGCCGCGCCTGCCGCCAAGATGCCGGCCTATTTCCAGAGGCCGGAAAATGCCCTCAAACGCGCCAACGGTGAGTAGGGTGTCGGGGCGCGCCGGCGTGGGGCAGCCCGAGGCCTCGGAGGTCGAGGGCCCAGGCCTGCTGCCTCCTGCCCGGGCTGCGCTCAGAGCCGAGGTCGCTTCGGCCTCATTCGCCGTCCTGGCCCGGGTCTGGCACGGTTTCCTTCTCCCTCCCAGCGACTGGGGGTGGAGGCGTGGATCGGAACCCTCGTACGGGCCTTACTCCCTCTGCTGCCTGCTGGTGCGACGCGGGGCGGCGGTCCAGTAGACAGTCCTGTCGGGGTCCAGCTCCTTCCTGGCGTCCGTCTCCAGCTGGCTTTGCAGACCACCTGGCTCTGGTCCGCTTAGGCCCAGCGCCCCCGACCGCCATCTGGGAGTGCCCGGGAGGAGGAAACATGGCTCCCTCCCGGGGACAATGCACGCGAGAACCTCGGCCCCACCTCCCCCAGAGGCCGGGAGTCCGGCAGGTCCACCTCCGCCCCCCCTCCCCCCGCAAACACCTCTGCCCCCTAGACCTGCGAGGTGCTTTGCCAGGTCAGGGTCCACTTACCCTTAATCCAGCCACTTAAGTGCACTTTGGGGCCTCTGACCCATTTAACCCGTTTCCTGTTTTTTTTTTTTTTTTCCTCCTCCTCTGGCATTGATTGGGGCAGTCCGAGTGCCTATTCCGAAACATGGGAAGTTGGAACAGAGTTAATATAAAGGTCCTTCCTAAACTGAGGCCTGGAAGGAGAATGGTTTCCCCAAGGTCACTCCGGCAGTTAGTTGTTGAGCCGGGAGACTAAAACCAAGGTCTCTTGACTTCCAAATCGATTTTTTCCCCCCTCTTGTCCTAGCGCTCCTGTTTGCTATTTCTATTTCCATGTGGGTAGTTAAACCCTCGCACTTGCAGGAAAAACTTGTGCCCCCTGATGTGTTCCAGAGGCACTTACTACATGGACACTATGGGGGTGCAGATGTCTTTTGCATATCTCTGTTCTTCAGAAACTTTCTTGTTCAGGTTTTTTTTTTTT